CGTATTTAGTTTTAATAAATCAGTAATGTACCGTTTTAATGAGCAATGCTGCAGATAAAGCATGTTTTAATTGTGTTTACCCCCTGTGACAGTTTAGATTTAGATATTTTTTATGCAGGTCCTGGTACTGTGCTGCTCTTCTTGAGGGAGGGCCTAATGGTTATTTCCCGCTTTGGATTGGTTCAGCGGACTGATTCTGCTCTCGCCATTGGATACTTTCAAACTAACGAACAAATCAAAAAACCGAAATGCGTCTTGGATGTAACGAGTAACGAAACGCTGTATAGAAATGTAGTGAAGTAGAAAGTACAGATACTTACTGTTAAATGTAGTGGAGTAAAAGTAGAAAGTATCCATTATTAAATCTACTTAAGTAAAGTACAGTAACGAAGAACTTGTACTTAAGTACTTCCCACCACTGCCCGCCGGCTCACCAGGATGTAGAGGGCGTCCTCTGAGCTCTTCTCATATTCTCTGATGGTGGAGAACACCGAGAGAACCAGGCAGGAGAACACCAGCAGGAACCTGGACACGGAACATCAAACACATGAGAGGGTATAGCCTCTCCAAGGTTCCTATGAGCAGTGAGGGTAGATCCTCTCCTAGGTTCTCCTGAATAGAGGGGGAAGAGCCTCTCCAAGGTTCTCCTGAATAGAGAGGGTATATCCTCTCCTAGGTTCTCCTGAATAGAGAATGTAGATCCTCTCCTAGGTTCTCCTGAATAGAGGGTACATCCTCTCCTAGGTTCTCCTGAATAGAGAGGGTAGATCCTCTCCTAGGTTCCCCTTAATAGAAGGGGCATAGCCTATCCTAGGTTCTCCTGAAGAGAGGGGGAATAGCCTTTCCTCGGTTCTCCTGAATAGAGGGAGAAGAGCCTATCCTAGGTTCTCCTAAATAGGGGGGTATAGCCTCTCCTAGGTTCCTATGACCAGAGAGTGTAGATCCTCTCCTAGGTTCTCCTGAATAGAGAGGGTAGATCCTCTCCTAGGTTCCTATGAGTAGAGAGGGTATATCCTCTCCTAGGTTCCCCTGAATAGCCTATCCTAGGTTCCCCTGAATCGACAGGGTAGATCCTCTCCTAGGTTCCTATGAGCAGAGGGGGAAGAACCTATCCTAGGTTCCCCTTAATAGAGGGGGCATAGCCTATCCTAGGTTCCCCAGGATAGAGGAGACATAGCCTATCCTAGGTTCTCCTGACTATAGAGGGTAGATCCTCTCCTAGGAACTTAGCTCTCCCTTTAAGGGGAGCTCAGAGTGACGGGTATTTACACGTAGGCGTGGTAGATGAAGGCCCATCCTCGAGGTCTCTCCAGGACGTTGTACAGGAAGTTCTGCAGCCGTCTGTAGACGGCGTTTCGTTTGGGGGGCTTCTTCCCTCCGGAGACGCTGCTGCGCTGGCGCCTAGGACCTTCATCCCCACCTAGGAACAGGGACGAAAGGTTAGCTGGGTAGGGGTGGAACGGTTCACAAAATCCACGGTTCGGTTCGATTCAAGGTTTCGTGGTCACGGTTTTCGGTTCGGTTCGGTACATGTTGATTGTTAGGAAAATCTATTATGTCTTGTATAGCCAGGTTAAAACTGAAAGAAAAAAGCAGTCTGACATTTGATCCATTATTGTGACAGTCTTAGGTTAAAAGTAGGTGAGATTCTGGCATTGCCAGAGAGGAAACAGTGCTAATTCCAGCATGTGCTTCCCTCTAAATGCAAACTGGTCCATACAGCAGACCTAAAAAATGCTGCTGGCGGTCTGATTTTAATCGGCTACGCTGCTTCTTCTTCTTCTTGTTTCCTACTGGTGGTTGGCTTTGGGCGCAGTAGCGCCCCCTTCTGGTCTGGAGTGAACGCGCTTCCCTCTGAGAAAAAGGAGCAGCAGGAACCGAACGCAACACACGCGAACCGAACCGAGACAGAACCCAACGGTTCGGACGGTTTTCAGAAACCGTGCCATCCCTACTACTGGGGTTTGGGGCTTTTTTAAGAGTTAAGAGGCTGGACCGAGACAAAACACACTCCTCTGAAAGTGCTACAAGGACTGAAAACGAGAGAAGCAAAACAATTGTCCACTGAAAATCTAACCCAGGAACACGGAACAAGGTAAGGGGTCACTGGTAACCCCCGGTTACCCCAGGTTACCACTGGTTAACCCCGGTTACTCCCGGTTACCCCTGGTTACCCCAGGTTACCACTGGTTAACCCCGGTTGCCCCTGGTTACACTAGCTGGAGTCTGGTGGGTCCAAGTCAGCATTCATCACTCTAACAGGAAAAGGGGGTCTGAGATCTATAGATGATCAGGGTTTTTATTCAGAAAACAACTCTTTTTCCACCAACAACCGCGAGCCTCCGGCTCAGAAAAGGATTCTATTCTCAGAATCAGAATAAGGTTTATTGCCAAGTAGGTTTTTGACTTACAAGGAATTTGCCTTGGTGTTTTGGTGCACAACACTTCTATGAGAAGCAACGAAACACAATGTAGAAATAAAAATATAGAACAAAAAATATTAAACTTAAAAAGTACAATCTTTAAAGATATACAGTGGGGGATATAAGTATTTGACCCCTTGCTGATTTTGCAAGTTCGCCCACTTACAAAGAATGCAACGATCTATAACTTTAATCATATGTACATTCTAACAGTGAAAGACAGAATCCCAAAGAAAATTCCAGAAAATCACATCATATGAATTTAATAAAAATTGATAACCATCT